GAGAGTTTTACTGTAGTAGAATACAGTTCATTTTTACCTTTTTCCTGTATGTTTCTCCAAAAAGACAAAAGTGTGTATAGTTTCTCAGCGGTTTTCTGGCCACTCTGGGCTAATGCTGCCATGCTGCTTTCAAGCTTTAAGCCGCCTTATTATCTGCATGATTTAAAAGAACATTAAAATTTCTCAAAGTCTTGAGCTGGTTTGATAGATCTGGGTTTTTTTAACATTTTATCAAGTAAAAGTGTTAAAATGAGAAAAATTATTTAGCTATATGGAGTCATTTCACTTATTTTGTAATGCGATTTACTTATCTAGCATATTGATGCACAAATTTAAATAGAAGTTTATTAAATATTTTGTATATAGCACTTGCTGAAAAATATTTGCTCAGTTTTTTAACCTTCAAAAAAAGAAGAACAGGGTTCATAATTTTTGAGTTATGCATGGGGTTATCACAGTTTGCTTCTGTGATACAGGACAATACTCAATCTCTGTTGCCGTTTTGAAATTGGTGAGGCAAACATACTTGGCATAGTGATGATGTGTAGCATTGTGATTCTCATATGGTTCATCCAACTTTTCCTGAAATATCTAAAATGCTCAGACTTCTGAAGAGTTAATGCAGATCTGTGAGGATGGTGAAGGACACAGCTCTTTTGCATCATAGAAGTGATGCATTAACTCCTGATGAGCTGAATGTGTTGGATGACAGTTTGTAAAACTAGTTTATTAAGAAGTTTCCCATACTTCGGTTTCAGATTGACACAACTAATCCTAAATGAATAGCACAACATGATAGTTAGGAATTCTTCAGAGCTGTTTGAGTGATTATTTATTCATGTTCTCCTTTGTTCCATTCATTTGATAAAGTTTTAGTAGTTGCCATTTTTGCAAAGGGGTCATATCAAAAGATTGGGCAAATAGCGAATATATGCATTTCAATCTTGCATTTTTCTTCATTTATCTCAGCTAAAGTAATAATTTTACCTACAGATGTAGTGCATGTACAACATCTTAGATGCACTGTTGTATGGTATTTTATATGCAGAAGTATCTCAGGTAAATCACAGCAGCTCATTTGCCTTGTGGGGCTATTCCAGAATTCCAAATCTTTGGTCTGCTGTCAGGAAAACAAATTTAAAAGATCTTTGATTTATGAAGAATTTTTTTCAGAAAAATTGCTGTTCTCTGGGGTGCAGGATGATCAATATTAAATAAGACGTCATTTGCAGATTTTAAAAAATGTCTGGAAATAGGTGCTTAATGCTATTAGGTAATAGAGAAAGTGCCCTAATTGAGATCCTTCTTCTTCAGGAAGTGTTTGTCTTACACTCCTGAGAGCTGAGAAAAAACAGAATATTAAAATTTCTTAGGGATATCATTATAAAATTTCCTAAACCTACTTTTTTATCTCTCTAGAGTCTTTAAAATGGCACTTCCAGTAAATGAATTTGATTTTACAGCCTGTGACAGTATGTTTTACTTTTTAAAATGTATGTACTTGAAGCCTTGTAGCTTTTCTGTAACATCTGTAGCTTGAAGTTAAGATAGAGCAGTGCAGACCACTGTGGCATTGACCATGTTCATGAACTGCATTGCTTGCACTTAGTTCCTTGGACATGTGTAGTAGCTGTGACAAGAACAGTAGCTAATCTTTATTACAGTAATATGGTATTCATGTACTTGGAAACAATTACTTTGGCCAAATTCTGAGTCTCTACTTGAAGTACTGCTTCCTCTATGCACCCTAAATCTGAAGTTAAGGTCTCATGAAATACCTAGGTCAATGCAGCTGTGCATTTTAACTATACTGTGTGCAAACCAGTGTTTTCACACACACTAGTGTGATAAACGTTTGTTACTGGCATTGCAAAAATGCAACACCACTTTTGGTTTTGTTGTTAGGTTTTTTTCTTGTTACTGTTGTTTGGTTGGTTCATTGGTTTGGTTTGGTTGGGGTTTTTTAACTGTTCCCTATCATGTTTGCTTTATTCCAGACATACTCTTGCTCAACATTCATGGCAGCTTAATCGCTCCCTGCACTGTCTAGGTCAGAGGGAATACTCATCTTTCACTGAATCTAGCAAAAATGAAATTCAAACAATTTTGAAGTCAGAGCATTTATGTCCTTGTTCTGTGAAATGGAAAGTCAAACTTCCAGTCTTCAGTGACAGGAGACTCCCAGTGAGCTATTTAGAAAAAAACCCCAAAACCTGTTTATTAAAAAAAAAAACCAAACCCAAACAACTTTCTGCTGGAAAGTTCTGACTTGCATTCAGTTTTGAATTGTTTGTTTTATTTCATCCACCACAAGCTCAGTGTTTCATGAAAGCAAACTGGTGGCCAGTGTTTATGACTTCGCAGGTGGGCTGTCTGCTGCATGGTCTGGGAGAGGAGGCAGCTCCATTTCTACCACTACATCTGTACTAAGATTCATTACACCTGGAGTAAGGGTGGAAGTGGATTATTCAATGTTTCATGCACTTTTTTGTGATCCAGGTGTTTGCTCAATAACCTCCATGTGCCCGTGCCTCAGTTCCTGTGGTTCAGAGTTCAGTTAGTTGGATATTTAGTGGGTCAGCAGAGAAGTGCTACAGCAAAAAGGCACTGCTTGTAGGATCTGAATAATCAGTCATTCATTTAAACCAAATACAGGATTTTTTAGCTTAATTTTTCTTTTTAAAAAGCTATTTGAAAAATTTTGACCAGTGCAAAATGTCTTTCCTCTCTGGATGTGGATCTGACTTGTTCTGCTTCCGTGGTTCTCCATGTCCACCACAGTTTTCTCTTAGGGTAGATTTTTCTTTTTGCATTAATTCTGCTGAAGTTGCAGACTTTCCTGATGTCTGACATTCCTTGGGTTGAAGGAAGCAAACTTCCTGCTTTTTCCTTGCTTTCTAAACTGTCTGGATACCAGATCTAATTTAGTAAAACACTGTTGTTGCCAGCCTAAGTATAAAAGGAGCACAGAAACCCCAAAACCCAAGAAGCTTGCAAGAGAAGTAATTTATTACTAATCGTCAACACTGCTTCTGACAGTGAGATGAATAGTGCTAATTGCTGAAGTGATTTCCATTACAGAATCCTTGAGGTGCAAGCTATCCGTGTGTTGAGAAATGAAGCATTGCTATTTCCAGCACAAGGCAGCACAGACAACTGGGGAAGAGTTGTTTTCTCCTTTTCCTCTAGTTATGAAAACAAGAAAAAAATCAATTCTGACTTCTTATTTACTAATTCTCCGCAGCACAGAGGCTTAATCCATAGCTGAGGAAAGGGTATAGGAAGGGAGCCTATTAAAATGTTGGCAGCATAAAATTGAGTTAGAAATGCACATATTGCACTTTCTCCTCGTCATTCTTGTAGTGTTCAGTGCAGTGCTGTCAAAAATAATCATTAAAAAAAAGCTTAAAATTTTCTTAACCATTATTAAGCCTAAAGCTGATGACAGAGGAAAGAAGAAACTGTTCAAATGCACTATTTTTTCTCATGTTAAAAATGATGATCTCTTTAATGAAGTACTTCCTCCTTATTCTTCTCTTAGCTTCTAATGATGAAATGTCATTGCTTTTGCTGTGCCTTTACTACCAACATTTTTAAAAGATAAAATCTTAGTTCTTCTAGCACTTTTTAATGTGAAGTGGTGTTTAACTGTGAAATCAAAAGAATAAACACAAACCTTGGGGTCATTGAAGGTGTAATTATAATTCAGCACTGATTTTTATATATATATAACATACATATAGACATATGTATTTTTCTGCCCAAATCAAAACTTTCCCTTGATTATAGTTGGAAATGGGAAAGGGGAAGAGCCTGCATGCTGCTTTTTTTTTTTAAAAAGAACCCTTTTTTTGCAAAAATGTCAGATATTTTATGGTTACTGCCTCCTTCTAGTTAGGGTTGACCTTGCAGATAGTGCTCCCCCAGAAGAGTTAATATTACAGTTTTTAGATAAACACAGCTTGTATTTTTTTAGAGCTGTCAAGTGATTCTACCTGCATTTGACAATTCTTTGCTTTAACTTAAGCAGAAGTCTTTCTTTGGATACTCTCTCTCTCTCAAATAGCATATAATTTCATTTAGAGCAGACAGACTGCTCTGTAAAGAGTTTGAAGATACCAGTAATTTGTTATGAAAAATCACTTGTTCCCTCTGTTGCTGTACAATTTACTGTGTGATTACGGAAGGTTAATTCAGAAAAGGGGAAGGGATAGTGGATTTGGGTGGTGCTAATTGCTTACAGAGTAATGCACAGAGCTTGATTTGAAACTTTTATCTGTGATGAGTGGGAGAGACAGAGGCAAAAAAATGCGAGACAAGGGAC